ACCTCATAACTTTGTACTGGGTGAACCGATTTCGATAATTCTTTTTTAAATGAAAGCTGATAGTTCTCGTGTGGTCCCATATGAATTTTATCAAGGTCAGACCAATAGTTTTTGAGTTATCCTTAAATAACTTATATTGAAGTCGGCTGTACAAATTTTTTAATTTTTAATTATTTTAAAGAATAAGGGTGACAAACGAGCACACATTCCACCTAATGGTAAGTGGATGTTGTGGCCCATAGACATCTACATTTATACTCGATTAAGAATCAAAATGCAGATGCGTTGTCACCTTTGACTAAGATGGAGTGCCTCGTTTCCAGTAAAAAGGGTCTCCGGTTCTCTACACTGACCATACGAAACACAGCAGCATTAAGCTGCTATTTTACGCTGGCATTCTGTGAGAGCATGGTCCTACCCCGGTCGAGCCGACCCATTCGTGCTACAACCATAATATAGCTGCAGCATGGCACTACCTCGTAAACTTAGGTGTGTTTAACTTACATTAACTTATATGTGTACAAAATGCTATTTATATTTTTAATAACGTAAAAGAATCTATCATACCGTTTACCCCCGAGGGTATTATACCGAAGGTTTTTTTATTTAAGGGATCTTTGATCTAAGGGGCTTTAAACTACTACGAGTTATTTAAACCCTCTCAGAAATAAGAGGAGGTCTGTGCCCAGCAGTGGGAAGTGTATATAACTTAAACGAATTATTTCTTAAGTATTGTTTATTGTCGCTGTATGATAGAGACGTAAGAGAATCTAAACCGTTAGTCTAACCAAGATTATAACCGTTTAGTCCTGAGGGTATCATAATATCATAATAATGGAAAAGGTCAGAAAGACCTCATGGTCTCAAATATCTCATAAGCCAGATGGGTAATTAAGAGGAGACGACTTGTACTGCGACTGCCAATTCGCCTGCCAAGCGTGACGACTATGAGGAGTATTTCCCACAATAGGATAGAACTATGTCCAGCAGTGGACTGTTACGGACTGGTAAAAAGAGCTAATAAGAAGTTAACTTTCACTGTAATACGTTCAGAAGAAAAGAAAATTGCACCGTATGGTCGTAGATAAAATAATAACAGCATCACAAAATCACAATCTATTGAAAATGCTACCAGAAGACTTGAATTTTATTATTATAATACTAGCTGTTTCCCGCGACTTCGTCCGCGTGTAATTTAGGGTTTTAATTATGTTGCGCGGAACCCTAATTCTTTTGTAAAATATAAGTAGCCTAAGTTACTCCTTATAACATCAGCTACCTGCCAGTGAAAGTTTCGTCGAAATCGGTCCAGCCGTTTCGGAGATTAGCCGGAACAAACAGACAGACATACAGACAAAAAATTTAAAAATTGCGTTTTTGTTATAAGTACTGTATATACGTTCAAATGCATTTAGTAAAAAGCTGTTATTTTGACATTACAAACAGACACTTCAATTTTATTTATTTGTATAGATGATATCACATTCTAAATAAAACCTGTAGGTATATAAATACAAACTCGTTTTTTATTAACATAAGCAAATCTAGGGAGCATTTTCACGAAACTTTTCCATTGTATGGAATTAGGTACTTTGAACAAAACTAAACTCGCATTGCAAGCAAATAAAGAATTCGAAAACTGAGGTCCGACATCAATTAAGATGGACTGCTATTGCTTTGCCACCCCCGGTGAAGATTTACTTGGCTTATTTGTTGGCTTTAGGAAGGTGTGACAGATAAAGCTTTCTTGCGAACAGCCTGTATATTTTGTAGCATTTATTACTAGGTATTAACGACATTATAACATTCACGGGGCACAAATGAATGAATGTACTAAACATCCTATATGAGTAAGTATGTATGTATGTACATTGGAAATATTTGGTCGCTTATTATCAGTACATTTATTTATTTATTTCATAGACTGTAGGAAGTATAACAATTAATAAGGTGTAAACATAAACTCTTTTGAGTATTACTGTACACCCCAAGCCGTCGACATACATTAATATAGACTAAAACTATTTATTACAATATTTGCTACACACTTAATACTTAAATAACAATCATGAGACAGCTACACATTTTATAAACACAATGAGGGTATATCACAAGATAAGGAATAAAACCATGTGACCAAATCTTTCCAATATTTACCGGTACAAAGTAAATCATTTTTCTTTTGTAGTGGTTTGTTCAGAAACCTACACAAAAAAACAAAATTAATTTTACTCACAAAATGTGGGGATAACTTGTTTTAACAGTCCAGACTTATTATATACTGTGGTTATTAATGTGGAAGTAATTTTAAAATAATAAACAAATTCTATCTTCTTATTTTAAAATCCTACTGCTGGCCGTGGGCAACTACCGTTGTAGGTAGGATTGGCCTTAATCGTCACGCTTGACAGGTGAATTGACGATCTCAGCACCAGATTAAATGACATTGAATACCAGCGTCAAATAGCAGCTTAACGCTGCTGTATTTCTTATGGTGAGTGTAGAGAACCGGAGACCCATTTTTACTGGAAACGAGGCATTCCATCTTAGTCCTCACGGGTGACAACGCATCTGCATTTTGAATCGTAATCGAGGATAGATGTAGATGTCTATGGGCCACAGCAACCACTTACCATCAGGTGGACTGTGTGCTCGTTTGTCACCCGTATTCTATAAAAAAAAAGATGTGTCGTGTCGTACCTTTACCAGGTGCAAGATCAACGGCTTCGCGTGCTTTCCTAAGCACGGCACGGGTGTGAAACACCACCAATGATTTTTTTTATTGCTACTGAGAATTTCTTGACAGACATTCAATAACTGATATTTGTCCGACAAGACCAACGAGGTAGTCTTGTGTTTGGCTAATTGCGATATTTAACATACGAATTCGTAACAATATGATAAATAATTTAAAATAAAAAATTTTGTACAACCAATTTCCATTTTTTTATAGAATTAGGGTGACAAACGAGCACACAGTCCACCTGATAGTAAGTGGTTGCTGTGGCCCATAGACATCTATGCGATATCAGATGCGTTGTCAGCTGTGAGGACTAAGATAGAATGCCTCTTTTCTAGTAAAAAGGGTCTCCGGTTCCCTATTATCACCATACAAAACACAGCAGCATTAAGCTGCTATTTTACGCTGGTATTCTGTGAGAGCGTGGTCCTTCCCCGGTTGAGCCGACTCATTCGTGCTACAACTATACTATTAATATAGCTGCAGCATGGCTCTACCACGTAAATTAAATAAATTATTAAGAATAACTCACAAATTATTAGTCAGACCTTGATCGAATTTATATGAGACCACATGAGGAGTTTCAGAGGTTCACCCAGAGAAAAGTTATGAGGTAACACACATAAAAAAATACAAAAAAACACAGTCGAATTGAATAGGTGAAAAGGAGGAGGTTCCTTTTTGAAGTCGGTAGAAAATATGAACTTCCATGGACTGAATATACACTTGTTATAGGTAACAGCTATGGTTTCGCTCCGCAGTGGATCGCAAGCCTAAGGATACAAATAAAATCGTTCACTTATACATCACCGACTCTGAAATCTGATTTCAGTACTGTTGGAGGCAACATCTAGATAGAACGTAACGTTTGAACATTAAAATAGCTCTTTGAAGAGAGTTCACTTTCTAAATTCGTGTTTTAATAATATGATTCCTTGATTTCTTTCAAACTGGTAAGTCCGTAACTTTTGTAATATAATATAAAATGAAATATTATCTTATAGTATTTAACATTTTATTCTCACTACATTTTAGTTATTTACTTTATTTTAATAATTTTTTGTACTAAATTTACAAACAGCGGACTTATTGCCCCCATTTTCTAGTGGCTCTGGAGCGTGTTTTGTGGCATTCGTTGGAGGAGGCCTATGTTCAGCAGTGGACTCGTGAAGGGCTGTAATGATGATGATGATAGTGACCAAACTTACATAATATTTTCCGTTTATATGCCAACGGATTCATTAGAGAATTTAATAGACTTTACATCGTGTATAAGCGAGATAAGTGCTATTATTGAAAATGAAAATGTTGACTATGTATGAAATGTATAACATTGTATATTATTTTATGAACATGTATCACATTTCCTTCAAAAAACATCTTATACATAGGTAGTTTCTGAATGAATTATAATTTATTTAAGTTTTATATTAACTCTGCAATTAGCGATCGTCTGCTTTAAGCCAACTTCAAAAACGGAAGTTATTAATTCGACTGTATTTTTCTTGTATAGTCTAAGTAATGCGATATCCTCGTCAATTGTGAACCAGTTTAAATAATTATTTTTTGTTAAATAGGCCCTAGTTCAGGGTACCATATAAATTTGGAGAAAAAAACATTTCACCCTTAAGGTGGCATAATACATCGACCGACACGAGCGATTAGATAGCTCAAAAAAAACCTCAACCGAGGGGACATAATAATTGGTAACAATGCCAAATCATAAACCAATATCATCCTCATTAAACCAACATCATCCTAATTCTCATCATTGCCTTTCCCTTTTTTAAATAGCTCGCGGCCTACAAGTTCTGTGTCAGATGAAACTGTGAGAGCCATATAGCATCACAGAAAATAGATGGTAGGAATGAAAATTTTGACGGAACCATACGTGGTTATACGTGGTAAAGCCATGCTGCAGCTATATTATAGTTGTGGCACGAATGCGTCGGCTCGACTGGGGTAAGACTACGCTCTCACAGTGTAGTGAAGTGTAGCCCCACGACAATATATATTAATGTTAAGGTAGAATATGAGGGATAGTCTATATGCAAGCGCACCGCCTTGCTCGGCCGTCATGTAATTTATTTATTTATTTATTTATTTATTTACTGGAAAACTAACAGCTTAATCTTAACAAAATATAACATACATGTAAATTACATTCTAAGCCAATAAAAAGTTTTCACATATAGATAAACAATAGTCATATATAAATAACAAATTCACTTTACTGCCGGTTCAAACTAATGTTATAAAATTATTGCTTGTTATTAAATTGTTGACTGTTGCTAAAATTGGAGGTGATTAATTTACAAATGGCAGAACTGTTGGTACAGAAAAGGTCCACCTTATCATAGTCTTTAGATAGTCTGTTAAATGAATTAGATGCTCTTATAAAGAAGGAATTGCGTCTGTAGTTAGTGCGATAAGAAGGTATGTGTAAGAGATTGTTACAACGTAGTGAACGAGTGGGGGTTGAGATGAGTAATTTCTTTAATAAGTCTGGACAGTCTATGTGGCCCTGAGCGATTTTTGATAGTAAAACCAGGTCTGCTGTGTAACGTCTAGTTTGCAGAGGGAGAAGGTGAAGACGACCACACAGCAGCTCGTAGTTTTCTTTGGGAATGCGGAATTTTGAGCACACATATCTGATGAATCTTTTTTGGATGGATTCAATTTTATTAACGTAAATATTGTACTGAGGATTCCATATTTGACTTGCGTATTCCAGATTACTTCGAACAAGTGAACAATACAAAATTTTAATAGATTTTAAATTGCGGAAACTGGAACATGATCTAATGATAAAGCCAAGAGCTTTATATGCTTTATTAACAATTTGTTCAATGTGCTGGTCATATAGTAATTTGTTGTCAATGGTAATACCCAAGTCCCTTATTTCGTTGCACCTGGATAATTCAGAGCCTTTAAGGGTATATTTAAATATGTTAATATTACGCTTACGCCCGAAAGACACACAAAAACATTTTTCAACGTTAATATCAAGTTTATTTCGCCTACAGTAATTGTCTAAATTGAGTAGATCGTTTTGTAAATATAGCGCATCATCGAAATTATTAACTATTCTAAATATTTTCATATCGTCAGCGAAAAGTAAAAAATTTGTGTTTAAAAAGCATTCACTTATGTCGTTAATAAAAATTACGAAGAGCAAAGGGCCAAGTAAAGAACCTTGCGGGACTCCGGAGGGGACAGGCACCCAGGAAGATGTAAATCCATTCAGAATTACCGCTTGTGATCTATTAGAGATATAGGATGTAAACCATCTAAATAAGTCACCTCTTATACCGGCTGTCGATAACTTTTCCATTAATATAGCATGATCAATACGATCAAATGCCTTGCTATAATCGGTATATATGGCGTCGATTTGATACCCTTTATCCATATTATATGAAACGAAATCCGTAAATAGCAAAAGATTGGACGTAGTGGATCTTTTTTGAAGGAAGCCATGCTGTTGGGGAATAATAGTATGTTTGATCGCCGGGTACAATTGGTTGTATACAATTCTTTCAAAGACCTTAGCAATGAGGTTCAATTTAGAAATTGGTCTATAATTCTCAATGATATTTTGTGGACCCTTTTTATGTATTGGGGTTATAAATGCGGATTTCCATCTTGATGGCATTAAGCCCTCATTAATAGATCTTCTAAAAATAAAAGTTATAGGTTTAGATAAAGTTCCAGCACATTTTGTTAGAAATAAAGCTGGTATACCATCAGGGCCAGCTGATTTTTTTAAGTCAAGCGACTTTAATAGCCTCTCTACTTCAAAGTAATTTATATTTATTGTAGAGATATCGTTTGATGCGAAAGATGATGTACAGCGTGAGATATCTTCTGGTTTAGTTGGTTGAAGGTAATTAGAATGAAAATATTGTGCAAAAAGATTACAAATATCTTGTTCTGAGTTATATGTTATACCAGAATAAGTCATACGAGAGGGATAAGATGCACCCCGACTTTTGTTTCGAATATACGACCAAAATATTTTAGAATGACTTTTTAGACTATCTTCGACGCGACAAATATATTCATTGTAAAGTGTCTTTTCGATCCGTTTAATCCTTTCTCTCAAAATTTCAAAGGTGATTTTGTCATATAAATTTCCATAGATTTTGAACTTCTTGTGGTACTTATTCTTTTCTTTGATTAATCTGACAATAGCATGATTAAACCATGGTGGGTATTTGCTATTACATTGTATACGAGAAGGAATATATTTGTCACGAATATTATATATTGTCTCGTAAAACAGTTCGACAGCATCATCCACATTACCTCTACTAAGAACTTCCTCCCAGTTCACCGAACTAATGTCTAAATTTATTTGGTTATAGTCGCCTTTATTGTAAGAATAAGAGGTCAATTTGTTACGAGTCAGAGGCTGGACATCAAAGTTTACAAAAATTATCAAAGCCTTGTGATGCTGGTCTTCCAAAACTAAGGGATCTAGACAATGATTTACATTTACATAGTCATTCGACAAAACTAAGTCGAGTATTCGGTTGTAGGAATTATAAACTGTATTAAATTGTTGAAGATCACAAAAATTCAAAGTTTCTAAGAAATATTGTACATGTTCGCCCCTGGCGCCACAACCCTCGATACCACTCAGTGTATGGGACCATGTAATAGAGCTCATGTTAAAATCACCTAGAATTAAGAATTTGTCATTCGGATTAGCTGATATTATTGACTCAAGAGAATTACAGAAATTGAAGACTTGATCGGAGAAGCATGCGCCCATATTTTCATTGCATAGATAAACAGTGCAAATATTGAGTTTAACGGGGTGTTTAGAGTAAGGGCATTTTAGTGTCATTGAAACCCAAATATCTTCTGCCTCCGAATACCACTTAGGTTCTCCTTTTGCGATTATTCTCTTGTGTAAAGCAATAAGAACCCCCCCACCTCGCGATTGTTTTGTTTTATTGAGATCACGGTCGCGGCGCCAAACGTAGTAGCGATCGTCAAATAACTCAGCATCAGATATGCCACCAAGTAACCACGTCTCCGTTAATGAAATAATGTCATAGTTGTTGAGCGCCACATTACGATAAAAATTTTCAACTTTAGTTCTCAGCCCTCTAACATTTTGGTAATACACATTTAATGAGGTCATTTTGACTGTTTACATATATACAACTTAAATACAGAAATACAGAACAAGAAATGAGATACTATAATTAAACTTACAGTAGCTATAACCACAAGTTTAATTATAGGACATTTTGTAATTATTATAATCAGCGCAAGGCCAAAATATAAGGTCCCATGTAGAAGTTTTATATAGGGCAGTATCAACAAAAAGTATAAAAATATCAGGTCTTTAAAGCGGCATCTCATACATAACAATCTGGTGCCAGGTCTGAAATGATAATAATGTATAATAATATAAAGTATATGAAATTTGGAGATACTACTAGAAATAATATATAATGTAAGCATAAACTCAATGGCGTATCTCAAAAAAAGTGATTTAGTGTAAAGAAAAAAATGTGAAGTTGAGATTGTTGTTGTAAGTTTTACCGTTGTTATATCGTTGTAATACAAGCCGCTAAACTTCCGTACATTTGGTGAGGAAAATAAAATAATAAAAGACGACGGTAGTAAGCAACGTTCGTAGTTCTTAATTGAATGTACTTTTATGGAGAGGTAAACGTAACTCATCAGGTAAGTAAATAAAAATTCGTTAAATAAAAATGCAAAGCAAAAGGAATACAATACCTGGAAATTATACAGTATCTTCATATTATAAAAGCGTTCATACTTACTTAACATTAAACAATGTAATGTAATCCCTTGAAAGTAGGTAATAGGTACACAAATAGCATGCACATTACGCATAAGCAAAAAAGGTTTTAGTAAACAACTATAAAAGACTATGATAAGGCGAGTTGAGACGGTGGTTCCCAAACTGTTATAAGTAATATTTTTTGATTTAATATATATTAAATTTAGCAAAACGATAAAGACTAGCAATAAAGAAGTGTTTATATAAATTAATTTATCTTGACGAGATCTGATTCGGATTTGATGTTGAAGACATACGATGTATCGGTTTTTCTTACAAAAATTTTTCCATGTTTGACCCACACGTATTGGTAGTTTTTTTCTTTTGTCAAAGTTTTGGTTTTATTCAGTAACATTTTTTTAGCGTAACTAAGATGGTCGTTAATATAGATACGATTTTTTCCTTTCAAACCAATATCTTCAGCTGATATATTAAGCTTACTGTGACGTGATGCTGCGATGAAATCCTCCTTCATGTATTTGTTTGTGAATGAAACAATTATTGGTTTGGTATTGGACGATCCAGTATCACGCGTCTGGACTCGAGTTACATAGTTGACAGCATTTTTTGGTACAGGATAGGTTATTTTATTTCCCAGTTTATCAATGATGTCAAACAAATTTTCCCCAGGTTTGAACGGAACTCCCTTAATTTCCACATTATTTGACCGAAGCCACTGATCTTTTTCGTTGACATCATCTTCCAATTTACGTAATTGTAGTTTTAGAGATGATAGTTCTTGATTAGCATTTTCAATAGCTTGAATCCGTTTATCGAAAGTATCCATTTTTTCCTTAACATTTTCGTTAAATTTCCGTAGTTCCGAGATATCATTTTTAATTGTGCGAATGTCATTGATGACTTCCTGAAGAGGAGTTAATTGGCATGAAAGCTTCTGTAGCTCAAACATGATAGTGTCCAGAGTAGGTTGTCGCGCTTCCGGAAGTGGTGATTCAGATCGAGAAGACAAATGGCCCACTTTGCATGAAGCACAGCGCCATGTAGCTTGTCTGTCCCCAAGTTTGCGGTAACCCACTTCAGTTATCCCGGAACATGGGAAATCAAAAAACTTGCGACAGGATGAACACTGTATTGCGCTAGACACTTCTTCACAACATCTACCACAAACAACCATTTTGATCGAATACGAAAATGATAACTTAGAGTTTGAGAACCTTTACTAACAAAAGTTTGTGACGGTATTTGTATTTTTTTTTTATTAATCTATAGATACTGGCAAATTAAACGTGCGTTTGACAAGAGATACAGATAATGACTGTAATGTTGGAAAGGTGTCAAAAGGAGAAAGGGAAAGAAAGGAGACGTGTGTCTGGTATCACGTGAACTTTTTTTTGTTAAAGAAATACTAGTAATGCTATTAAACATTACTAATATTCCCTTTAACCACTTCTGGTAAGCTTAAAATGCTTGTGTTAGAAGTGGTTCACGACAGTAGTCGATTGGCGGATTCGAACCGACCTTTCGAGTTCGCGGTCCGCGCCCTGCTAAAAGAATAGATATTTTTAAACAGTATCGATATATATCGTGTGATAAATATCGAAATATCGATATATTATCGTCATCAATTGCAACCAACCACACATGAATACTTTTGTACCTTTTGTTGTTACATGTGTTGTCATTAATACAACATTTTAAAATATATCGAAATTGATACGAATTCGATACTCTAATATAAATATCGATATATCGGAATATCGCGATTTAAAATATCGACGATATATATCGATTTTTTTATAAAAAAATATCGATATTTCGATATATCGTTTTTTTTGCCCTTAAAGACGACAGTAAGATTGATATTCTTTAGTCCATTTAAAAACGTTACCACTTATTGAAGTCGGGGCTTTAATTCTACTATTTAAGCAAATAAATGAAATTGAAGTGTCTGTTTGTAATGTCAAACTAACAGCTTTTTACTAAATGCATAGGAAATTATATACGTTACTTATGACAAAAGCCAATTTTTAAAATTTTTGTCTGTCTATCAGTCGGCCTGACTGTCTGACTGTCTTTTTGTCCCGGCTAATCTCCGAAATGGCAGAATCAATTTTGACGAAGCTTTTACTAGAAGATAGTTTATGTTATAAGAAGTAACTTAAGCTACATTTATTTTAGAAAAAGAATTAGGGTTCCGTGCAAAAAAATTAATATCCATGAAATTCTGTCGTAATAAATTCCACGCGGACGAAGTTGCGGGGAGCAGCTACTTTGTTATAACCTAGCACCAACTTCGGAATGTAAAATTATTTTAATTTTTTTAGTTGTTTTAAGCCGGTTTTTACTTTTTATCAAAAGTTAATTTTTTATACAATATGATAACCACATATGGAGCCGTCTAAACGAAAAATAGAACATTTTTCAATTAGAATATAAGAAATGGGAGATCTCGATTTATAATAATACCAGAAGTATTTATAAAGAATACCATCGTAAATTAGCAGACCCTTTTTACTGGAGAAGAAGCATATCATCTTAGTCTTCACGGCTGACAACGCATCTGCATTTTGATTACTACTATGCAAACGAGGATCGATGTAGATGTCTATGGGCCACAGCAACCACTTACCATCAGGTACACTGTGTGCTCGCTTGTCACCATTATCATATAAAAAAATATTTTCGGTTAAATTATTTCATCTCTACCGAATTCAATATGTTAATCAAAACATAATCAGGAAAATTGAGTGTAATATCTAGTTGTGCGATAAAACATCCGCCAACGAAGAGCTTTAATGAAAGCCATCAGTATATGAAATCACTGACACTTGACACTGCCATGATACGCGATAACAATATCGATAATTTATTAGGGTTCCATTTTGGAGTATATCAAATTATTTGTTAGGCTCTATAGAACTTACAAGACTCGTATTTTTATTTCACACATTTTCAATAAAAAAAATATATCGTCTTATGCGGTAGAGTTACTTCAGCTTTTTCTTTAGATTTTTAAAGAAGTTATTTGTTCAGTTATTTGTTAGGTGAGGCTTCGTTTGCAATTTTAAAAAAGGCTACTAGGTGCAGAATTTAACTTGAGACCTGCAGGTTTACACTTATCTTCTCATTCCTCTCTACCACAAGCTGCAAACGCTCTCGTCGCTTCAGTATGGACTTTCAAACTCTCAATACGCTCTGACGTCATCCTAGCTAGGTCTCAAGTTAATTTTCTGCGCGCAATAGCTAAGTTTCACGTCCAGTTTCTTTAAGCAATAATTACTGTTGTGTTCCAGTTTGAATGTTAAGAGCACCTGGTATTAATTAGGCACTATAAGGTATTTCATTTGATATGTGATAGGCCCTTTTTACTGGAAATGAGGCATTCCATCTTAGTCCTCACGGGTGACAACGCATCTACATTTTGATTTGTAATAGAGGATAGATGTAGATGTCTATGGGCCGCAACAACCACTTACCATCAGGTGGACTGTGTGCTCGTTCGTCACCCTTATTCTAATAAAAAAAAAATGTTCTTCATCTTTAAAAAAAACATTACCTCCACACTAGGACTTTCTCCTGTATCGTGGAGACAGTTTACAAACATAAATTGGACAAAGACAAACATCAAGACTCGGACCAATTATTTGTATAGGCCATACAAATAAATGTTTGGTGCGGGATTCAAACCCGTGGCCCTAAGCGTAGCTATACAATGTTAAGCCACTGAATGTGATATGTGGGGTGACAAAGCATCTGTAGAATCTATAGAATACTATTGGATCCTGTCATAGAGTTTCACATAATGTCTCCGTAAGCGGAGAAATAAAATGGTATATTGTGTAAAAAATGTTGGCATAAACGGTGGAGCTATGCCGCAGCTATATTAATTGTATAGTTGTAGCACGAATGGATCGGCTATACCGGGGAAAGAACACGCTCTCACAGAAATTCAGCGTATAAAGCAACTTAATGCTGCTGTGTCCCGTATGGTGAGTGTAGAGAACCGGAGACCCATTTTACTGGAAAAGAGACATTCCGTCTTTGTCCTCACGGCTGACAACGCATATGCATTTTGATTCGCAAACGAGGATACATGTAGATATCTATGGGTCACAGTAACTACTTACTGGTAGACTTTGCTTATCCTATAAAAATAAAATAACGTAATAACCATCCTTTTATTCATTTATTCCTTCAGACCACAGAATGAGAAGAGGTGATGGTATCTCGGACGTCGCAATCCCAGAAAAACACAAATATTGACACGCGTTATCGATTCATGAAACATTATTAAACAATAAAATATATTTTTTTAGCTCAGCAGTCTTAGTAAAGAGTTTGATCATGCATGGTATAGTTATTATAATATGCCTGTTAAGATTCAGCAGTTGCGAAAACGATGTAAGCAGCCTTTTTGAGGAAATTAATAAAAATGTGGTCAAATTGAATGCGATTGCTGCTGAAATAGAATGGGCTTCAAGTATTAACGACAACACACAAAAACTTAAAGATAGTTTAGAATTTTATCAAAAAAATCGAATATTATGGCAACGGAAAACTTGCGATAAGTTGGCTATTCTCCAAAACCGTCTAATGTTGAACCAAACCCAGAAGAGACAAGCATTTCTCTTATGCAGGCAACCTGCATATAAAGTAGGAGAAGCGAGGTATGTATTTAATAAATATTATACGAAAGTAAAACTAAAAATAAAATAAAATGTTTTTTTTTATAGGATAAGGGTGACAAACGAGCTCACAGCCCACCTGATGGTAAGTGGTTGGTGCGGCCCATAGACATCTACATCTATCCTCTATTACAAATCAAAATGTAGATGCGTTGTCACCCGTGAGGACTAAGATGGAATGCCTCATTTCAAGTAAAAAGGGCCTCCGGCCACCTGGACTCACCAAGAGAAACGCAGAGGTAAACCTCTACTTCAAGCTGGTTTTCTGTTAGGTCGTGGTACCACCCCCGTTTGAGCCGGCCCATCCGTGTGACAGCAAAAGCTGCCGCGTGGCTCTACCACTGTTAATTTTTTATTGAGTCATCGATAATAATGACGGTTCCGTGGCGCAGTGGCTTAGCAATGAGTTGCAGCGCTAAGGGCCGTGGGTTCGAATCCCGCACGGAACAAGTATTTGTATGGACTACAAATAATTGTTCCGGGTCTGGATGTTTGTCCTTGTGAAATTTATGTATGTAAACTGCCCCCACAATACAGGAGAATATCTTAGTGTGGAGGTAACGTTTTTTTAATAATTAAAAAATTAAAATTAAAAATAATAACATTATTCTTTGTAATTTTTGTAGATCTTTGTATGAGTTAAATGAGAAGATGCAATCGACCTATTACAATGCTGAAGTATGCATTCCACGTGCAAAATTCCTACCTCGTTCACCCTTAAAGATGAATCTTACAGATATTGAAAATGCTATAATTATATATTTATCAACGGAAAAACAAAATTTTAAATTCAAAAACGTATATTTAGATAGTTTTGTGAAACGTGACGTGCTTTGCTTGAAACAAAATGATTTGGAGAAACTCACAGCGTATTCGAAGAAAGAAAACGTGTTAAGGTGGATATGGCTCGCATGGAGAGAGGAGACTGGTCCACTGATAAAATATTTTTATAACAAGCTTATTAATATAGAAAATAAAGCTGCAAGAAGAAATGGTAAGTAAAAAAGTGAAGCAACACTCTACAGACGTTTGAGTGTTGGGCACAGGCTCTTCTCATTCTTGAGAGGGGTTTCTATCAAGAAAAATAAAATAAAATGTGAACTTCAAATATTCTAGCAATAGTTTTAATTTCTCATACATGCACGTATCTTCATGATGTTTTCCTTTACCACCGAGCACATGGCAAATTAGTATTTATTTTTTTTATAATGAAGAGGCAAACGAGCATACGGCTCCTCTAACGGTAATGTTAAGTGATCACCTTCGCCCATGAATTTAAAAGTGCGTTGCCGACCTTTCCGAAGGGAGTACCTAGACTCTTTCCTTGAAGGTCCCAATTCCATCCATGCATCCATTGTAGCCTATAAAATTCCACTGCTGAACACAGGCCTTCCCCATAGATTGCCTAATACAGGGGATTATGCCATAGTTGCCACGCTTGGCAGGCGGGTTGGCAACCGCAGTTTTTTATTAATTTGAGTTGTTATCAAGAAGATGCTGCTGCATATCGCCTGTTTCAATTTCTATTTGTCGCCTCTTACGACACCGCGCGATGATATAGAGTATATTCTTACACCGCTACTACACGGTTGCGAATGCGTGAAGGTCCCAATTGCCAGTCACATTTTCACGGGTACTTGCGGTAACAGAACTCGCATCATTCACCCCGCCTGAGATACCACAGCTCTGGTAGTAATTTTGTTGAATTATTTCATACAGGCGTAATAGTAAAGTGGCATCGATACGTAATAAAATGGCGATTCGCTGTGGCTTTACGGGGTCTCGGGTTCGAAAACCTCATGGAGCAAGTATTTTTAAGACCTAAAAATTTCTGTTCTGGATGTTGGTTCATATAGATTGCACATCTATTAAAAACGCCTCCACTTTACAAGAGAATTCTAGTATTTAGTATAAGCGATAGAATTTTATAAGAAATGTAAACAATAAGTAATTAGAAAGTCTTGGTCTTTCGCAAATCCTAACATTCATCATTTATTGTAGCCTATCACATACAAAAAGCCCACTGCTGAACACAGTCCTTCCCAACATTGCCTTATGGATGGATATTTGCCACAGTTTCCAACGGGTTGGAAACCGCAGTTTTTATGTTATTTAGAATTGTTATCAGATAATCATAACGCCGATAATTTAAAATTAAAAATTTTGTACAACCGACTTCAATATACATTATTAAGAATAACACAAAAACTATTGGTCTGACCTTGATCAAATTTATATGGGTAGCACACATAAAAAAACATACTGTCGAATTGAGTACCGTCTCTTTTTTGAAGTCGGTAGAAAAGAATGAAAAACATCATGTAAACTTGCATGTCAGATTTCAATGACTTAAAGCTCTCTCAGAAATGAGAGACAGTTTATATAACTTATTTCTTTGACATTTACCTACACATTTTTTATATTTTAAAGTCTTAGATTAAATTCGACATATTGGAAAATACGAGAATATAGTGTTTAGTGTCGATTTATGGTCAAAGGGGCCTTTTGCCTGTGGGATGTAATGATATTCTACTGGCTGATTTCGACAAATGTGATAGGATGTGATGGAGATATCAAGAGCGCCTCATTTACCGGTATCCAATTTTACACTTATGCTTTATATATCAAAGTTAAGGTCAAATTTAGTGTTTCACAGACTTTTATAACATACTCAGACCTGAAAACTAACAAATGTTTGTTTCGGCTGAGGTTCAAACCCAGGACTCCCAAAAACACATACTCTGAATTCTAGTCCACGCGGTCATCGTGTCGAGGGATAAAATATATAATAATAAAAACAATTTCAGGTTATGCAGACATTGGTGAATATTGGCGAGCTGAGCTTGAGATACCAAACTTAAAATATTTTTGCCACCGACTTTACAAGTCTATTCTACCATTGTATATGCTTCTTCATGGTGTTGTTCGGTATTACCTAAAAAAGAAGTATGGCGATATTGTTCCAGCACGAGGACCAATTCCGTCACATTTACTTGGTACTTTCAACCACTTACTTTGTTACAATTTTTAAATAACTTTATAATAGAAGGGGGTTGTTATTTGAACTTCTTATAAGTACTCGTATTACCTTTGACTGCATCGTGGTCGTAAGCAAATCGCGTAAAAATCAGTCATTAAGTTATTCTGTTCAAAAAATTATCTGTGGCAGCCTGGAGTCAGGAAATTGGTGGTTCCTCCGTTCCTCGGAAAACCTCCGTTCCTCGGAAAGCACGTGAAGCTTTTGGTGGGATCTCTCTCCAGTTAATTTACCGTCCCCTAGGACTATGAGAGTGAGGGAATAGAGAGTGCACCTGTGTTTGCGCAAATGTCCTGCGCAGATGGCTAGCCTCCATTGAGATTGGCCGCCGTGACTGATAATCGGTCTAGAGAACATTATTAATACCTTCAGATTCATGTACAATTCGTATTATCTCCTTTGAATTCAGTTATAATTATAATTACCATCATATACATGGTTATTTTTCAAAGAGTATCCAAATTTTATATTTAAATTCAAATATATAAATAATGATATACTGTTATTACAGTTTTTGAAAATACGAATAAATCTACTTTTATTTGAAATTAACCCAAATTGAATGTGGTTTATGGGCAACAATTACGGGTACGCGCGCCCATGGAAAGATGCGCGACAAAGTACCTTAATTTGTAACCGGGTGACCACGCATTCTGAATTCAATAGATAAAAAGGATAGAATTTTTGAGATTTTTTTATGAATTTTTTCGTCACCATTCGCCCATATTACTTATTCTTAACCTTCTCTGCAATTTCGGGCATACATTGCAAAATAAATCTTATACAGATTATCGTAAAACTGATTTTTGGTAAAGCAATTATACGAGCACGAGTAAACTTATTGATTACTAAACTTATTTAACTTATTGATTGTAAACTTATTTTGCCCGCGTCTTTGTCTGCGTAGTAGTAGTCGGAAATAATTTCGATTATTATAAATTCGATTGTTATTTTGTAACCTTGCACATGACAAATATATATTTATATATATTTGTTACAGGAAACCTCTGGAACCAAAACTGGGAGCCGTTGACAGATTTAATAATACCTAACACTATCAGTTTAGACGAAAATATGAAAAACATGAATTGGAATGTTAAGCATATGGTAATTTTTTACGTTTTTGTATTAGTACTTTTTATTAAATATCTGTTTTATAAATTTAAGTAATATAAACTTTTTACGTGGTAGAGCCATGCTGCAGCTATATTAATAGTATAGTTGTAGCACGAATGGGTCGGCTCGACCGGGGAAGGACCACGCTCTCACAGAATACCAGCGTAAAATACCAGCTTAATGCTACTGTGTTTTGTGTGGTGAGTGTAGAGAACCGGAGACACTTTTTACTGGAAAAGGGGCATTCTATCTTAGTCCTCACGGCTGACAACGCATCTGCATTAATTCGTAAACGAAGATAGATGTCTATGAGCCACAGCAACCACTTACAATCAGGTGGACTGTGTGCTCGTTTGTCACCCTTTTACTATAAAAAATCAAACAATATTTTATTGGTTAAGAACATTAATTATGCAAGTTATTGATATTTTCATACTTAGTTTTTATACTAAATCGACAAACAAACTTACAATCCAACTGATGGTAAGTAGCCGCTGCAGTCCATCGGTCCTTTTTTTAGGACTGGAAATGCCTACGCATACCCCTCTCGCGGGGGCAAGAACGGGTTATGTCGGACTCGCACCGATTAAAACCCTATGGTGTTCCACTTTCGCCACATATTGGCAGGGCCACGGGAACGCCATTGCAACACCTCCTCGGGGAGGACTTCTCCTCCCCCCTTTCCTTCTCAGGTAAGGCGCACGAGGAATACAAGGCTCGCCTTCCTCCATGGCCTCTTACTGCTGCTGCGAAACGGACTCCCCGAGGCCGATACGCAGAGGCCATGGGGCCAGGAAAATCGAGCAGTTGGAAGTACTAGTTTTCCCGATCCCAGTGGCGGATCTGATCTATGGCTGCGCCGCCAACCAAGATTCGGTTGCGGAGGGTAGGGAGAACGGTGCCACGCAATATCGACACTCCTCTTCCCCCGCATCCCCCCACGGTGCGACGCCTATGTATATACTATATGCCTGTGTATACTATTGAATATTTTGAGAAGTATTAAGTATTTCAACGTTTATTTACGTTACTTTGATTAATTTGTAGGTAAAGCGAACCGAAGACTTTTATCTATCTTTGGGCTTGCCGGCAATGACAGACACATTTTGGCGTAATTCAGTGTTTACTCAAGGAGGACATGGAGACTTACGTTGTCATGGGACAGCGGCAGACATGTTTAAAAAGGACGACTTTAGGTTTGTCCTTTGTTTCTTATAGAATGAGAGTGACCAACGAGCACAAAATCCACCTAATGATAAAGAGATGATGTGGCCCAAAACACCTTCATTTATCCTCGACTAAGAATCAAAATGTGGATGCATTGTCACTCCTGAGGACTAACATAGAATACTTTGTTACTAGTAAAAAGGGTCTCCGGGTTTCTGCACTCGCCTTCAGAAAGACTTTAGCATTAAGCTGCTATTTTGTTCTGTGAGAGTGTGGTCCTTCCCTGGTCGAGCTAACGCATTCGTAATGCACCATAATATAGCTGCAGAGTAGCTCTTCCACGTTATAATTATATTATTACTAGATATCCGCCCCGGCTATGCACAGGTGATTTCTTAATCTTGGCGACAGCGCCACCCACTGGGTCTAATTGTGAATTTAAGCCATCCAGGGACCCATTCAAATACACACATTTTTTACCCGAATCGGTCGAACCAGTTTCGCGTTTTTGCAAAACTATCGGACATCAATTGATAAATGACACTCCTCTTCCCCCGCATCCCCCCACGGTGCGACGCCGTCAGAGGCGCGGAGGATAGGGTCAAGTCCACTCGAAGTGGCCTCCTCGGGCCGGCTCTACATCACTGATGAATATAAAAATATACAGAGATATTCTTTGTTACAACTCCATATGCATTTTTAATTGTAAATTTTATTGTACAAAACGAAAGCTTGTGATAGAATCAATCACACTATTTTGTACTGTAGATGTCGTAAAATAAGACTGACTATAAATAGTCTCTTAATAAGCAGTGACATAGAAAAGCGTCAAAGGTTGGACATGTGACACTGATCCTCAGTCATGGCAAGCTTAGCATTACGGCAAATACTTTATACGATTTGATAGACCATGAGCGGTAAACCTATTTAAAGGTAAAACAATTACCCATTTAAATCACTATAAAGCCGAAAGTCCACCTCAAACTAAACCAACTTAGTTATTCTAAGCTCGCATAACTAAGCTAGGTAAAATAGTCAAACTAAGTCAAATTAACATAGTAGTGTAGGCCGATCCGAAACTACGCGAACTAAGCTAAGTGCCTCTCACTCCCTTACCTTACCCCTCTGGCGCCTTTCGCTTAGTGTTGTTTGTTTTAGCTTATTTTTGGTAGACGTGCAACGATTTTCCAGTTTAGGTTAGCTTAGTTCACTGAGCCTAGTTTTCACATAGTTTAGTTCGCGGTGGACGTTTGGCTTAAATACTAGTCTCTATAAAACTTTATATTAGTAAAAAATAAATAAATAACATTTGCAACTAAACTAAACTGCATTATGATTCTACAATTAGCTTGCTTGATAGACGTTATTCTGCCCTTTTCGGTGCCGTGTGTTTCACTCCGAATTCTAGCAAGCACTTGACTCAAACGTGGCACTACATTATCGGGTCTAGATTTTTAAATTATCTTTTTGAAGTAAAAACTTATTTAGAATTGTTGTGATTTTGAAACTGCGAAAAAAAGAGATTGAGATAGAGTATAGTATACAGTATTTTTCTGAAGGTATCACTTCTACCGCATGTGAACTGCACACATCATCATCATGTTTTTTGGTATTTGTTTATATTTAATAATAATTTTATTACAGCACTATCTTTTGGATCCTAGGATAGCTATGAATCATCATTCAAACAAATATATTGTACGAGCATGATTGAAAGTCGTTCATAAGTTATAATATTATATTGTATACTTAAATAATATTAATATTTAGTTTGGTCGACTCGGTAGTGCAGTGGCTATACATCTAGCTACATTACTACGGGCCGATTCATTTATTGCACCCTAGAAGTATTGGTTAGGACTATAATTGTTCTGGGCTGGGTGTTTGTCTTTTATGCAACTTACAATCATCATGTATGTAAACCACCGCCACGATAAAAGAGAGATTCAACTTTTGTGACGTATTTGAAAAAAATAAACATTTACTTTTTTCTGTTACTTACTCTTATTATTATTGCAGATTATTATATTGCTCTGGTATCTCTTTGCAAGATTTTAATGTATTACATCACGAAATAGGACATATCCAATATTACATGGCGTATGCCCATCAACCCGGTATATTTAGGGTAAGAATAACAAAAAAACACTATAAAATGCCAATGTTTTGCGTTGTTTTATTAATTTTAGTAACTAAATAATTGTTTTGTCACTGTTAATCAATATTTGTTTGGCCAATGTAATTTTAAGTATTTTAAATAACTGTCTTTTACTAACGCCCGCAAAACGATTCAACTAATAATATCTGATTTGTTATAATTCGTCGCTAACGCCGCATAGGGGCGAGTCTCAATTTTTCAAAATATTACTGTAATTTTTTGAAAAATTGAGGTTCGCCGGTTTGCGGCGTCAACGACGAATTTATCATTTCAAAACAATTTTCTTTACAGCAAGCTAACTCAGCGCTACACGAGACAATTGGAGAAGCAGTAATGATTGGAGTCGTAACTCCGCAGCATTTGAACCGACTCGGCTTGATCAATGATTCAATTCTGTATTCAACAGGTGTTAAAAATAATGCTTATACTCTTTTAAGTACAAATCTAAATGAAAACGCTCATTATAAATCACACAAATCTACAAATATTCCAATAAAAGGTAAATTACTCGTAACTGCAACAAATGATGAAATACTTTTACTAAAACGAGCTTTAAGCAAGCTACCACAAATACCGTTTTCGCTGCTCATCGATGAATACCGTTGGAGGTACTTCGAAGGAAGTATTGAAAGAGATTCACTGAATAAAGAATTTTGGGCTATTGCTTTAGAACTTCAAGGCATATCACCTCCTGAAGAAAGAGGAGAAGATTTTTTTGACGTCGGTGCTATTTATCATGTTGCGGATAATACGCCCTATATAAGGTAGCTAATAAATGAATGCTAATTTTTTTTTAATAGGATATGGTGACAAACGAGCACACAGTCCACCAGATTTATCCTCAATAAAGAATCAAAATGCAGATGCGTCATCACCCGTGAGGACTAAGATGGAATGCCTCTTTTCCAGTAAAATGGGTCTCCAGTTCTCTACACTCACCATACGAAACAGAACAGTATTAAGCTGCCATTTTACGCTGGTATTCTGTGAGAACATGGTCCTTTCCCGGTCGAGCCGACCCATTCGTGCTACAACTATACTACTAATATAGCTGCAGCATGGCTCTACCACGTATAAAAGCTTTAGTTTGCATAAAAATTCATAACAAAATTTATACGTGGCGGCTTCAGCACGAGTCAGATCGACCGGGGAAGAAACACACTCTTAGAAAATACGAGTGTTAAAAAGCAGCAGAATGATGCTGTGTTCGTATGGCGAGGTACGAAAACCGAAGACCCGTTTACTGGCAATGAAGCAATTCCTTTTAGTCCTCAGAGGTGACAACAGCTGTATTTTGAATCTTTTTAGAAGTAAAACGTTGGTGCTTATGGGACACCGCACTTCTTTACTATTGGCTTGAATTATGCATTGACTTTTGTCTTGTTACCGTTGCCGTTACGATCCATCAAAGTCTACTGCTGATCATAGATTGTCTTATAGGGGTTGGCAACCGCAGTTTTTTTAATGACGACTCTGCTGCCCAATTTTGTCTTATTCTCATTTTTGTATTGTAAACAAACTAAATTCTAAGAAATTGCTTTAAATGCAATGTAACGTTTTAATCTTTTAATTTTTAAGGTACTTCCTGAGTAGTTTCATTCAGCACCAGTTATTTGAAAACTTCTGTAAAGTTGCTGTCTTCGGTAATCAGCAAATTAAAGAACCATTGCCTAGTACAATACTTTTAAATGAATGTGATATATACGGAGCTAAAAACGTCGGGAAAATGTTAAAGTAAGATTTTACTATTTATATTTGTTATTAGTAATTAAATTGTTCATTTTTGTTTGTCAGTTTCGACCACGGTAACTTCTTTCGAACACGATCACTGGTTATGAATACTGCAGGAGATATTATATACCTGCTCGTATATTATATTGCAATAAGTGTATACGCAAACTGATGCAATTACACGAGCTCATACGCTAGATGAGAATTTTATTTATGATAAGGTAAAAAGTAGGCTTGGGTTAATGTCAGATTATGGTGTGGTGGTATCGTAGAAGAGTCCATCACCACATTGCTACCTGTGGGTGTCGTTAAAGACAACTATAGGAAAAAATTAAGATTTAAAAAATTTATTAGCTATGATCCGTGTAATAAAACAAAATGTCTTACTTAGAAGAGCACCTCCAACCCATCCTAAATCGCGTGCAAAATCCCCGTCACTGTACTACTACTGTTTCGCTCTAAACAAGGCATCATCGTCACGCGACACTACAAAATTTTCTGCATATGTTCCTGGTAAGTACCTGTCTAGCCTAAATTTCAATTTATGAAAAAAAAAAATATCTCTTCGAAAATGCCAAACTCAAATCCCACAAAGTGGATACTCGACGGCTCTGTCGCGCAGTGACTTGACAGGGCTACAAATAAATTTTTCGGGTCTTGATGTTTGTCCTTGTGAAATTTATATGTAAGAAAATCCTTGTGTGGACCTAACCTTTACTTAAAATAAAAAAAAAAAAGATTATAAACAGCATTATCAGGAGTATGGTATATCAGCTCTGAACTAACTGCCCATCGTGGTGAGTAAATATTTCAAATTATACTTGCCAGCAAGCGTATTCATGGAAAGACCTTTATTTGATGTGCATTGATCATAAAAATTTTCACATGTTAAATGAATAGTACTTTTATGATTATATTTTTAGGAATTTAATGTCACGTGGCAACTCTCAGCAATGGCGTGAAATTTTATGGGCTGCATTAGACGAACACGATATTTCACCAGAACCACTGTTGCGATACTATCGACCTCTACAGGACTTTTTAACGAGACTGGTTATTGCTTATGAAATACCTATTGGATGGTAATGTAAAATACCAGGGCTTAAACAAAAAAAAAATAAAACTTATGAGCTATAAAAAAGAAAACTAAAAGAAGATTTCATCATTTCACATACCAACCTTTCTATTATTTATTAATTTTAAGCTTAAGTATCATGCAAACTATGCAGCTATAAATATTCTATAGTTCAAGATAATTGTGTTATATAGAAGAAAATAAAACTTATTGATCTCAATAGCGTATTATTTGCCTTGTTGGTTGCAGGAACTTACTTAAAACTAAACTACAGTACTACTAACCTGCCTTCAAAGCGTGGCGGCTATGACAAAATGAGGCAATCTATGGAGCAGGCCTGTGTTTATCAGTGGACTTTTATGGGTTGTAATGAATGGATGGATGGATAGATGGATGAAAATAATACTTGATGACAATTGGTGGGTATATTAATTAAATTATCCAAGGTCGGATAGATCCAATTTTTGGTGCGGTGTGGATTACCAGAGAGATGGTAAAAATGGTTTGTAGGTTCAGAGTTATTAAAAAGATGATTTTACGTTAATTATGGACTGTATGAGACAGAATTTACCTTTTCGCGATACTGCAAATGTCCCTAAACTCGGGCTGCATGAGCGATGTGAAGGAATGCATGTGCACTCGCCTGGACTTCCGCTGATCTGCTTCGTGTCTCGAAGGCTGTGGCCACGATGGCGGTTGGATGCTGGCTGCCTTCATACATCGTCTATACATTTTTCTATTTTCTTGTTTAGCGATTACACGAGACATAGGCGATGTGGTAGATTGCGTGTCTTGCGAGCTTGTGTAAACCCCGCTTAACACAAGAGTGCACATGCTAGACACAGAAGGCGGTGGATAGGAAACCCGCGAGTGGGTTTTGCAGTATTCTCATTGGATAACAATTAACGAATCTCATAAGTGTTAGGCGGTGGTTGCAAAGTGGCGGAAACAACAATAATCTTTCTTTTTCTTCTTCATCAGCCCGTTACAGCACTGATGGATATATATCCCTCCCATGGTATGGATGATTTACATTAGTCAATATATTTGGCAGACGGACTGACAATCACAGCACCAGACTTTTTGCACTTCTGACGCTGTTTCACATCGACAGTTTGAGTATTTTACGACTGGATTAAGCGAGATGGATATACTGCCATCTATTGGATCTTTTTGGTAAATCCCATAGTCACTTCTGACGACACCCCCGAGACAAAATTGCGTTATGGATTCTCTTACGCCGTCATCACACGGCAAAAGCTTTATATTTATATCTGGTACTTACTATGTGCACCTTGGTCGTTCGTCTCATTCGTGCTGCAGTCTTAACACGTATGGCTTTACCGCGTGTGAGATTATTATTCAAGCGGAATTTTCGGAACAGAGCGGACGACCGACATACTTTCTTTTGCGATTTTTGAGCTAATACAAGAGAAGTATTTAGTGAAATAAAACAAATATGTAAATTAACAATAAATATATTTATTAACTTATTAAATATGTCTTCTTAAGAGTACATTCGTTTTACACTTAAGTTACTTAACGTAAATTTTAAAATAATTTTTATAAAAGGAGTAAGAATCCAAACTAACATCACAAAAATAAATAACAAAGCTTTTCAAATAATTTAATATTGGTCATTGTCAACTATTTTTTTTGCCATTATGTAAAATGTATTTACAATTATTTCATGTTATTTATGTATGTATGGTAAATATGAAATAATAAATGTTTACCTTTTTCATTCTCTACATATAAAAATCAATTGCTGTCCGTTAGTCCCCGCTAAAAATTTAAATTAGCTCGACCGATTCTGATATGTTTGTGTTTGAGTGGGTCCATGGATGGATTAAATTTACAATTAGGTCCGGTAGGTGGCGCTGTTTTCAAGATTCATAAATCATCGGTGCGATGTCGGGGGCGTATCGCTAGTTATTTATATTATTTACATTTATAATTAGCTACTCTATTTACAAATTCTACGAGTATAGGCACTAATGAATTATTTCAATACTATTGCATTTTCGGCCGTTTGATTTCTAATTATCACAATATTGTATAAGATATCTAACAGATGAGTATATGTTATTATTTGTGAATTATTTTTTTAGCAATTTTACATTTATATTATTTTAACAATAATTATTATCTATGTAACATCCAGTTATTGGCTTCCTCCTGATATCCGCATTTTATTTGAACCAGAACATTTTATTTCTTAATTTTTTTGAGAGAAGAACATTCAGAAATTTATTTATTTTACAATTTATAACCATGTTCGGAAGCTTTTTTATAAATTATGAATTTTAATAGTAACGATCGCTAACCTTATTAATGGTTCAATAAACTAAAAATAAATTATTATTTTTGGTGGTAACATGAATGAAGTAGTTAGATATTTAATTTTAAACCAGTGATGTTCTTTAAAACTGGCTATTTAGTGGCCTGCGAAGACATTTCAAATTCCATATCGTATTCAATTGCAAAATTAAATTTATAAATTTAAATGAAAATAGTTTCATATGTTCGCAGAATGAGCGGCCATTACATTTTTGAAAAGCTACCAAGCTTTTTAAACTAAATTATCACTGGCTTAGTGTGGTAAAGAAAAAAATCACATTATGTTTAATCGCTTCGAGATATTCCCACTTGTGTATGACTTTTGTGAGACGTATATGTCTATATAGCGCTCTATTTTTTATGCTATGAGAGCGTCGTTGCATGTGATATCCAATCCACTGTGTGAGCCACACGATGGTAGATGCCAGGTTGGCCTCGACTAGCACAAGAGTATCCGGCTGAGACTACGCCGATGAGGTACCACCTTCCAGCTCTCTCCAGCATTAAGGGACCTCCACTATCTCCTTGACAGCTATCTTTTCCCCCACCACGGTAACCAGCGCAGAGCATTTCGGGGTATATGACAACGTTTATACCTGAAATGATATATGAATTTATAAATTACTTGTTAAATCGTGATATTTTTGAATACTATTAACGGGACTTGTATTGGAAAAAAATTTTAAAGTTACTTTATATATTAATTTTTTAAATATTTGCTTCACCATTAGAATTTTTAGCTTACAAATGATTTTCCTGTCTTACAGTAATTATACATAATACCCTTTTTAGCTATTATAAGCCATCGCGTGACTACTATCTCTCCTGATGGTAAGTGATGATGCAGCCCAAGATGCTGAAGTGCACTGACTTAACAAAAGCTGAAATATCCTATATGGATATTTAGGCTTAATTATTTGAATTTTAACTTCATTCTAACGTTAAAATACCTGTCCGCGTGGATGAAAGAATTTAACTTGAGAACTACTGAATCTACCTAGTCAGGTCACATGTTTAATATAAAATAATTGAAACAAGTTTATTCATTATGTAACCATTTATACACCAAAATGAACTTAACAAAACATAGATTCTTATGACACTAAAGTTTATTCAAAATGACCTCCGTGATTTTGAATACAGGCCTTCAATCTGCGCGGCCAGTCGTCTATAGCAGCACGAACGAGGTCCATGTCAATATCGGCGGCTGCCTTAATCAAGGATGTCTTGGGTGACTCCAAATTGGGATGAGGCTTTGAGCACGCCTTTTCCTCCAAGTGTTGCCATATCTTGTAATCTAACGGATTCAAATCTGGACTGGAGGAGGGCCAGTCTTCGTGCCGGATGAAGTCGATTTCACGCGCCGCCAGCCAGTCTTGTGTGCTCTTCGCTCTATGAGCTAGCGCCGAATCTTGTTGGAATACCTAGTGCCTGTTATTGAACATGGTAAGAGAAACAGGTTCCACAAGGTTCGTCAGGACTGTATTTTGATACACAATTGCATTCGTTTTTACACCTTTCTCACAAAAATGTACCCCTGTTAAGCCCCAATAAGAAACTCCCAACCATACCATGAGCGAGGATGGAAAATGACCTCGTTGGACACGCGGAATACGGTTGCTCGCTTCTTCACTACTGTGTGCGTACACCTTATCATTTTGTTTGTTGTAGCTCTCTTCTACGGTAAAATTTTTTTCATCTGAAAAAAGAATTTCCCGATATTTTTTTCCCGCGTACCGCTTCAACAAAGCGCGGCATCTCTTCAGTCTCAGGTCCATTAGACGAGCATTCAAACCATGTCCTGTTTATCTTCGATATTCCCGAAGCCCTAAGTCTTCATTTAACACCCTTTTCACTGTGGTTCTGCTTAACCCCATCTGAAGGGCCAACAGTTCCTGCTTACGTTTGGGATTTCTTTGAATTCGCGCCTTCACAGCTTTTATCACTGCTGGAGTCCTAACAGACCGAGGGCGACCACTTCTTGACCTGTCATCTACACTAGAGTCTTCATTGTATTGTTTGATGGTACGATAAACGAATCTTTTGGTTATATTCAAATTTTTCAGTATGTCAAAAGTTTGAATTGGCGCGTAACCGCAACGATGCAATGCAATAACTGCAACACGGTCTTCTTTAAGCGTATCATATTTAAAAATGAGTAAAATTCTAAAAAGTATACAGTTTTATTTTCATGAACAATTCGAATTCAATAAACTTTTTTGTGGCCAGCTTTCTAAAAGAAAAGTTTTTACTGTGTGACAATACTTATGACCTGACTAGGTATTATACTTAGTGCATTAGTGCGTAACCCTAACACCAATTTAGTTCTTGTTTCATTATATGAAAAGATTAAAAGGTTGATTTTTTTATTTTGCGCTCACGCAAGTTTTTCGTGGTAGAGCCATCCTGCAGCTATATAAGTAGTATAGTTGTAGCACGAATGGTCGGCAGCTTAACGCTGCTGTGTTTCGTATGGTGAGTGTAGAGAACCGGAGATCCTTTTTACTGGAAAAGAGGCATTCCATCTTAGTCCTCACGGGTGACAACGCATCTGCGTTTTGATTCGCAAACGAGGATAGATGTAGATGTCTATGGGCCACAGTAACCATTTACCATCAGGTGGACTGTGTGCTCGTTTTTCACCCTATCCTATATAAAAAACGCAGATGAAGTCGCAGCTACAGCTGTTAAATGGTAATATTTCCGAACCATAGTATAAGGCATTATTAATTATGCACAGTAATTAACTTACCGTTAGCTCGATGCCACCTTTCGCACACTCTGTTATCTAGTACGGGCACGTCAACCGCTTGCAGTGTCCGTGGACGCAACCTTGAACCTGGACTCAAAGCTCCCCAGCCGGCAGCCCAGCCGTACTGTCCCAGGAAATCCGACCCACGTTCCGGCAAGCATATTGGCGCTGAAAAATGTTTTTATTCATTTTTACAGAATATCTGCTCTGAAATTCAATGCTGAAAATAGAATTAGCCCATTTATTGCATTATACGTAAAATATTTGCCATAGTTACGATGCTTGGCTTTTTTATTATTATTTTGAGTCGTTACCAAAAAGATGTCGCTGCCCATCTTCTGTTTCATTTTCTATTGCCGTCTCTTATGATATTTCATTAGATAATATAGGATAATGAATTTTGTTTATATGCCGCCACTACACGGCGATTTGATAATAATGAAATAATATGTTACTTAAATAGCTGTCTAATGTCACGTAAGAGAATCCACCACCTCATATCATTCCGCTGGAGTCGTAAGAGGCGACCGAAGGTAATGAAGTAAATAAAGTTGCATCTTCCTGAAAATAACTCCTTCCATCATCTACGTTCGCCAACTCGCCTGCCAAGCGTAGCTGATATACTTTAAGACAATCTATGCTTGCCAAGCGCCATCTATGGTCTATGTTTAGTAGTGGAGTTGTGAATGGCTACTACTACTCCCACCTGCATCCATCGAGTGTATCGGGAACACCATGTAAAATAGTAAAATAATGATGGTGTGCTTCTTTATCATTTACCGGTACTCCAACTTAAACCTCACGGGCGGTGACGCATCTGAATTTAAATTTTTAATTGAAGATGGAGTAAGTGTATTAAGGCCACAGTAGCTACGTACTGTCAGATGGACTGTTTGTAAGATTGTGATATGATTGCCCCCACTTGTATTTAAAAATTCGATCGTCAATCAGACTGCCAAGCAACGATAACAGCAAATCTACCAACTTGCAAAAAACCCTTATTCAGTTGGGAACTTTTACGGTCTGGTAATGACTATAACAAAAAATCTAACTAGAGCTAATAATTATTATTCTAATGTTAAGATATTACCTATATAAAACTTCTATAAACCTAGCCTTGAATTAGCAATTTTACAATAATTTAAAATAAAAACAAAACTAACCGATATGCGGCATATAATGCACATTCCGGTCGAGTGTCAACACGGCGACATCGAACCGATCAGCCTGTGGTGTAAACTTGAAGAGCGGGTGGACTTTGATCGTTCGTACGCCGAACGTGTATGCAGGAAGAGGTTCTGCCGCAGAGTTGATGACGTAATCTCCAAGGGTCACCCGAACGTGGCGTGGCTGAGCCCGCGCCACGCAATGGCCTGCCGTAACAACATGGCGACGAGAGATCAGTGAACCACCACATCTGAAATTAGTTAAAAATATTTTTTATATACTACAAAAATCTATGAATAAGAAAATTGTAAATTTAATTTAAATTCTAATCTACACTAATATATTATATTATTAAGTGGCGAAGCTTGCGAAGTTACTTATTGATTTCACGATGTCTGTCCGTCTGTCCGTCTGTCCCACGATTATCCCACGACTATCTATCCGAGAACGGTTCCGAATTTTCAAATTCTGTTTTCAGCAATCGATTACTGATCACCCAGGCATCTGAACCTCCTATTTTGAAACTGATTGCTCAACGGCAACCGTTAGAAACCGCTACAAAGCTGATTGCTTCGCCACTTTGCTATGCTGTTAGCTTGTTAGGTTTATTGATTTCACGATGTCTGTCCGTCTGTCCGTCCGTCCGTCCGTCCGTCCGTCCGTCTGTCCGTCTGTCCCACGATTATCTCGAGAACGGTTCCGAATTTTCAAATTCTGTTTTCAGCAATCGATTACTGATCACCCAGGCATCTGAACCTCCTATTTTGAAACTGATTGCTCAACGGCAACCGTTAGAAACCGCTACAAAGCTGATTGCTTCGCCACTTTGCTATGCTGTTAGCTTGCTAGGTTTATTAAAGTCCGTTATTGTTCGCGATGGAGCAGCGCTTACCTATACTATGCATTCACTATTCGACAAGAAATTGCAATGAGTATATTAGTAAACTTCTTTTAAAAATTGTCGAATAATCAAATTAAAAAAAAGAAAAACCTATTTCTAAACCAAAAAAGGCAAAATAATTTCCACATAATAGATTCTCAGGTGATGATCGATGACCTTTTTGAGTCATTTGATAAATATATACGAGGGAAGGTCAAAAAGTTCACGGAATGACAGGGAAGAATAATGAAATGAAACATTAAACTATTTTTCGTTTTCAAAATTTATTAGATCTGTCAAATAACTTATTAATACCGTCTAACAAGAAAAGGATTTGTCTTGGGCGTCAAAATAGGCCGAAATTGCCGACTTCACTTCATCATGACTTTTGGGGTGAGACTTTTTTATGCCACTTCATCGACTCTTCTTTGAATCAGGCTCATAATGATGAACCTAAGTTTCATCGCCAGTTACAATTCGGGCCATAGCTTCCTCCCTTTACTCTCCACAGCGGTCCAAAAACTCGCGAGAACTTTCGACGCGCTCGTGTTTTTGATGCGTAGAAAGCATTCTCGGAACCCATCTTGCACAGACTTTAGTCATACCAAGGTGTTGTTATAGAATATTTAAAATGGTTGTTTCTGACACTCCAACTAATGCTACAAGCTGTTTTTTCTTTATCCGGACAACTTCCGATACAAGTTTTCAACTTTTTCGATTTTTTCTGGCGTGGTAACTTCAATCAGCCGACCAGGTCGGGTGTCGTCTCCAATGGAGTCCCTCCCTTGTTTGAAAAGAGTGTGCCATTTATAAATCATGGTTTTCCCAGAAACAGAGTCCCCATAAACAGCTAACATCTCTTGCAAAATGGTTTGAGGTATCTTTCCTTGTTTGGTGAGAAACTTATTGACGGCGCGATATTCAATTTTGTCCATAGTAGCTAGTTTCTTCCCGATTGACTTGTTTACTCCTTGATAACTCAAAAGCTAATGACCCGATTAGGCTGAAACTTGGTATATATACTAACAATGAGTCACTCAACTAGCGCCTATCTGGATGAGTAAACTCACCCTCGCTTAACCCGCCATTCCGCGAACTTTTTGACCTACCCTCGAAAGTTTAAGGTAACTTGAACGACCAGAATATCGTATGAATAGGTACATTAAAATCTTTATTAATTTTTCCACCATTACGAGTGGAAAATTTTCTTTAAATATATATTGTGGAACTGCATCTGAAGTATAAACTATTTTAGGTTCAGCCGTTGTTTTCTTATTACGCTGCAACAAAGTGTTTCAACTCTTTGCTTGCTAGTTCGAGGTTTCCATTCAAGAACCTTTCTTTACCATCAGGTGTCGGTTGTTTAAACGGCAAGCACATTGTCACTTCATCTTACTGATCCAACTTTTGCGGATATCAAAATCAGAGGTTCCGTCTCGCAGATAAATTCAGAGCATACCAACTTCACTTGCGCAACGGACGGTCGGATGTCCGGTGCGCAAAGGCCATGGGGCCAGGAAAAACGAGCACTCAAAAGCACTAGCCTTCCTGACTCCAGCTGCGGATCTGGCTATGGCTTCGATAATCCTCGCCCCCGCAGCCCCACCACCAGGGCATCAACAATGCAGCCCCGTCAGAGTAGCGGAGAATAGGGCGAATGGCGCATCGCCATACCAACACTCGTCGACTCCACCTCGACTGCAACGGTCCGAACACACATCCGAAGTGGGCTCGCCAAACCCACTTGGAGTGGCCACCTCTGGCCGGCCCTACACCTCGGACAATGCCGAGTGGGTTCCTCTTTGTTCACCGCGGGTGACCAAACTACACCTACTACGTCTCCACGCAAGGCGGCAACCCATTTGTGGGGGAGCTATTTCGGCCTGCAGTAAGGGACAATGTGTCAGAACCATATGTCATCACTAGTTGTACGCTTTCGTCTGAAGCATCTGAGGAATAATGGACAAAAATATCTCTGTCTCAGGTTTCTGAACACAGTCCTGCCAAGTTGAAGTTGACCTCTTGCTCGAAGTTGGATTTACGTACTCGGACATTTGCCCCAGGTACACATACTCATCAACAACTTCGAGCGTAGTGTTCCCAACAACTAACGATATTGGTGTAACATGGACGTTAGATATGATTTTTGTCTTGTCCATATTGATCAAACCTAACCTTTAGGAAACGCTAGTGATGTCGTTGAGTATAGTAGAAAGGCCGTTCAAGAATTCTGTCACGATGACTATATCGACGTCGGCAAATCGAAGGTGAGGGTTGTATTCGCCATTGACGTTAATACATTAGCTTTTCCAGTCCAGTAGCTTGAAAACGTCTTCCAATGCAACGGTGTAGAGTTTCGGAGATGTGACATCTGTATTATGTTTCCCTGCTTTAACGGAATAAACTATATTATAATGTTGTTAACTGTTGCTAACGAGGATCAAATTGGCTTTCTTATTTTAAAAGCAATGCGATAATATTAACAGTATGACTCAGCAGTCACATTTTAACTTGTTTATGCGCCGTAAAATTTAGTTTACTTTCGTTTATATTTAAAATGCTGTTACGTTGTTTATCGTTTATAAGATTATTGTTTGCTTTTCTTTCACAAAAGTAGGTATACATTCTTAAAAACATGCTAATTGTATAATTTTGGCATTACGCAAGACAACCGATTTTACGCAATCAAAGTTATACACAGTAACACGATAATACTGGTAGCTCAGAGCTAATGGTAGCAAAGAGGCTTTGCGCATGCCATGTATTTGATAGTAGATAGCAACTTGGCTTCAATCCCCGCCGACAACAATCAAATTATTGATTGCAATTTTTAGTGTGTTTATTACGTGTTCAGCGGTGAAAGAAAACGTCGTGAGGAAACTAATGTCTGCTCATTAATATATTTCGGGAACATGTGAACTCCACCAATAAGCGCAAGAACAGCACGGCGAAGTAAGTGCGATATAAGTAAATTAGGTGGTACGTGTGGCGTATCAGCAGCACCAGCGCCTACAACATATATTTTGAGCGGCCCTCGCTCAGAGCATTGATACGAGAGCATAGTGTGCAATGCACGCCGGATACTCCGTCAAACTGCACAGTGGTTACTTACAGGGTAACAATTTTACACTCACCGACGCATTCCGAGCCTATACATTTACATTTCGGAGAGTTTAGGAATTACATGACTTAATTCCTCTCCTTTGAACCTCTCCATTCGAACTAAATGGTTTTATTTTATTTTTATTTTCTTGAACAAGATATACAAACAGACAGTAGTTACATACAGTTCTAAAATTAAAAGTATGATGGTATTGATCTAAACTACAATCCAAAAGAGTGTACACAGCAAAATAATATAACTTCAGTAGAATAACAAAATAAACATGATTAAAAAAATACATTAAAAATTAAGAGAAACACGTAAATTTCTTTTAAATCTAACGAGGCTACTATCAAATATATCTAGATGTACGTTACTACGCTTAATCTCGTCGTAATCACGGCACATTTTGACAACCGGGTTGAAAAAGGAAGTGTTATGCTTGTGTACGTCTAACATAAATATTCTTTGAACACGTAGTTGTATACCGGAATTGAAGCTAATTAGCCTTAGTAACTCTGGGCAATCTATATGTGAATGTACAATATTGTGCAAAAAAAACTTGTTCTTTTTTTTTATTTTTATTGAATAGAGGGCAAACGAGCATGCGGCTCACCTGATGGTAAGTGACTACCGCCGCCCATGAACAACCGCAACACCAGGGGAATTGCAGATGCGTTGCCGGCCTTTTAGAAAGGTGTAAGCTCTTTTCTTGAAGGTTTCTATGTCGTATCGGTTCGGAAAATTCGCTGGTGGTAATTGATTCCACAAAGAAGTTGTGCAAGGGAGAAAACTTCTTCAAAATCGCACAGTGGTGGACCGCCAATCATCCAGATGGTATGGATGGTAACGCGAGTTTTGTCGCGATGTACGAAGTGAAATTGAGCGGCTGGAATTAGTCCGAACAATTCCTCAGAGCACTTCCCGTGATAGATGCGATAAAATACGCAAAGAGATGCAACATCTCTACGCAGTGCCAGTGTATCGAGCCGATCGGAAAGAACTCGGTCGTCGACGATTCGAATCGCTCTGCGCTGGATGCGGTCAAGTGGAAGTTCGGCAAATTGTTGCAAATTGTCTCCTCAAAGATAGTCGTGGGACATTAAAAAACTTTAGTCGAGACTCGTACGAGTATGATAGTAGACGACGTAAGTGACCATATCTGCCACAAACACTGCGAAGGAAACTACTGTGCACCTCTCGATGCTGTCAGAATGTACCATATAAAAGGGTGACCAATATAAAAAGGGTTTGCGTCGTCGTTTCT